TTTTCCATTTTTACGAAAACCACAGAGGCGTCTTGTTCAGCGTGCTGTCAAACCTACACTAGCAAGGAGATCGGGCTGAAACTATAGCTACAAGCTATCCAAGGATGGTACTATAGAATGTCACCTCAAGGTAGGCCTAGTGGCGTCATCTCTTGGTTAGGCTGGAAACTTATCAATCCACCCTCGTATATTAATAAATTTAATCAAATTTGGATGGGTTGAACTAGTCCCTAAACAATTTTACTCTAGGTATACATTTTAAGACTTACGGTTTCGGTAATATTGTGTAGCGTGTCGAGGAGCTGTTGTCGCTCCAGCCACCATGATATTTTGGCCGGAGGCCTAGAGCCAAATGTTTGGCACTGGATATCGTACTTCCTGTCAGCCGAATACGGTTGGTTACTGCTCAGAATTTCAACTTTTAATGGCCGAACTGCAACAAAATTTTCCAGCGTAATGACGACGAAATAGCACGACCCAGAAAAATTAATGTAGTAGAAAAATGTTACCACAGAAAGCGGAAAATAATGAAAAAAGTTCCTAGTGCCTATCGCATTTACAGTATTTTTTTTTTGTAATGATCAAGACAAATCCCTGCATTCGAATTATTTTAATAATAAAAATTAAAACAAATTAAATTTTAATGAAGGATTTATTAAAACAATGTTCAAGAAAATAATAAAATAAATAATGCAGAAAAATTCATTTAATGGTGATGGTGGTGGACAACTTCATGATGTTCAGACACAACATGGGGATGCTTGATTTCGATTTTATGACCGAACGAAGATTTCTGGTGGTGGGTGGTGTGGTGCTCGTGGTGAGCTGGAGCTTCGTGATGGTGTTCTACTTTGGTGGGATGGTTGATGTGAATCTTGTGGCCAAATTCGGCTTCATGTTTGTGTTCGATGATCTTTCCATGAACTGTTTTGTATTCAACTTTCTTCTCATGGGCATAGACAATTGCCACAAGGGCGACCAAGATAAGTACCTTTACAAAATAAAAAAGCAAGTTAGATTAAATAAGAAATTGTATCCTACCTACTACATATACATATAGTAATATATAATTATTACTTTTATAGATACTTACTTTGAAAGACATTTTAAAGTTGTTATTGTAGATTGAAGACGATTTCAAACTGATAAAAGACTGGCACAAATTCGCTTTTATACGGTAAAAAAAGTGTCCCTCCCCACCATGAAAAGCACCATTTCTTATGTGAACTAACGCAGCGGTTTTCGTAAACGATTATTAATGAGTCTATGCAAATTTTCTTGAAAACACTTAACTCGCAGTTATTTCTTTCAATTGAAATGAAATTACTTGAAAGTGACAGTATGCCGTTAAAGCTTTCTAACAAAGTAACCGACGTGTTAATTGGAAGAAACTGTTACTGAATTATTCGAAAAAAAAACAATAAGTAAACAAATTAAATATATAATTTAAAATTTCAAAATTTGCGTTCTGCGTTTCTC